AATCAAATTATATTTAATATGAATAAATAAATAATAATTAAAATACAAATATTTACCATCAGAAGTGACAACAACTTTTTCTGTAACTTGTTCGATTTGTTCAACAATAGGTTGAAAAGCCATGTTAGATTTATTTTTTGTTGTAGAAATTGTAATAATTTTGAGATTAAACAACAAAATTTATTGATCTTAAATACCTGAAGTTGCTGTCGTAAATGAGTCTGTAGGTGTTTCCGCCACAGCCTCTTGATAAGATGGAGGAGCATCTGGCATAGATTCAGTAGTAGAATCTTCAACTTGCACTGAAGAAGATCGACTAGAAGGCAAAAATTCAGGATAGTGCTCCTCTTGATTTGGAGCAAATCGGCCAGATGGAGTACGTTGCAAGAGATATGACATGGTTGCGTCGATTGATAAAAGTATGTATATCAAAAAAAGAAGAAAGAACATGTAAATCGTTTTGGAAATCTGTGAAAGTTGAAAAAATTTTTGCGAAAATTTGCGAAAAATTGAGACTGAATGGCGGCAAACCAAGCTGATCTTATACCTAGAATCAGACGAAATAGATAAGACTGCATACGGATATTGTTTGTTGTTCTAAAATAAGGTTGAATAGAAGGATTGGTGAGTATATTTGGATACATGTGGCATGCATATGACCGCATGTGAAACCAGAAATAACACGTCATTACGTAGAATTTCTCACATGTAGATCAGATAACGTAATTGATTATCCAAATCCGGATACATCTCTGAATACCCTGAAACAGGAGCATGAAATTCTGCTCCTGATTACACATGCATGACTATGAAAATTCCTAAACGGAACTAGTGGATTGTGTCTTGAACCTATAAAAATTTGGGATAGAACCAATATTTGATCAACGAAATAATCCTTTATTTGTAGATCATCTCATAATCTCTGAAACTGAAAACTGGTACTCCTGCTCCTGATCACACATGCATGACTATGAGAATTCCTAAATGACTGATCGTGTCTTGAACCTATAAAAATTTGGGATGTATCACAATTGAACCAATATTTGATCGATCAGAATGATCCTTGTTTCAAAATCAAATGATGCTCCTGATCATACAGGAGTATGAAATTTCCAAATTTATATTAATTAAAATATGGTTTTGATATCCTCGAACAGAGAATAAACTCCTGTATAAATATAGTTTAAGAAACTAAATTTAGATTCATTCTGCTTCCCTCAAACACAACAGAATTAAAAATGTAAATATCATTTATATTTTAAAGTTTATTTTTTAAAATTTATTAATTTTACTTTTTAGGAAAGAACAACATGAAAAGAAAGAACGTGAAGAAAGAGAAAGAGAAAGAAAAGATGAAAAAATACACACAATAGTCTTTGTTCAATTATGGCCTTACTTTTAATAATCTTAAAAGATTACAATGACCCTATAATGATGTACATCATCATCATAACCCTGATTTTAGGCTTTTTTAAAGTAATTCTTTCTTAAATTTATTATTAAAAAATTACAATTAAATTGCAAAAATTAAAAATAAAACCAAAGTATCAACTTACATGAACATGCGTAAAAAAGAGATTATTTACAAATAAAGAAAATTTGAATATAAATATCTTTATTTATGCTTACATAATCAAATTACTTAATCTAATTATTAATAATTTTTACACTTCAGCCCTGATTTATTTTCATTTATTAAACTATTCTTAATATAACAATGATCTTTTAACATATGAAGACAGAGTATCATTTCTGTAAACATGTTGTTTACCCGATGCTTGATATCATGCAAATCCTTAGCCTCAAAGATGTTGTGCGTCTTGTTTGCATTGCTCAAACACTGTTAGATTGAAATTTTTTGAAACAACATTGTACTCTGAAGCATGATAACAATTGATTATGAGTAATAAAATGATAAACCAGATGATTTTCATGCTACATAATAAATAATTATTAGTTTTTTTAAAAAAAAAAAATATTACATATGATAAACTCACATGTAATCAAACTATCGTAATTACTTATATAAACCCAACCTTTAAATCAGATCTATTTAAATAATTAGTTCTCCGGAAAAATTAAACAGAATGAGATTCATTCTGTGGTTTTTGATTGCACTTGTGCTCCTGTTTGATATGCAACATGCAGCCGAGATCATCATCGAAGTGGAACCACATAGGTTGCACCGCAACCTACCGATCCTCCATACATGGGATTTTCATAAAAAGCGTTACGTTCCCATACTAAACAAGAATGGAAAGATCACAAAACAGTACGATGGCGGTATTTACGTGCAAAAATTTGGTAAACAAGGCAGAGCATATTACGAAAACGTGCATAAGCCAAAGGGGCCTACACCACCAACCATAAAACGTCCAACATCAAAGAAAAAAACCAGAAAAAGAAAAGCCACCTCACCAAAAAGAAGAGGAAAACCGCGAATAAAAAAATAAAAAAATGCTGAACTTTCTAATTGGTTTGTATCTTTCCTTTTTTTTTTTTTTCTCGCTTATTAAACAAAAATTAATAAACTTTTTTTTAGAATTCCACCTGAAAATCTTCAAGCTTCACCTGCTTCTAAATGAAATGATGCATCAAATTTATTATACTTTTTATACTTTATACATGCACCTCTATAGTCTAATACATTTTACATTGTTCAAGGAAATGGATATTGTGAAACTTGAAGAAGACATTGATCTTTCTTTAAGTTTATTAGGTGTTAAACATGATAAAAACATTAGCATAAATCAAAAAATGTATCTGATTGTTAAAGCATGTAATGATATTTCAAATATAAATAAAAATTTTATTCAATATTAATTTTAACTAAAAAAATGAGTTCGCTTGAAAATAAAGTTGACTCCCTGATCGAAATTAAAGAAAAATATGAAAAATTGTTAAAAAAACATCAAAAGGTTGCAGAAGAATTAAAAAAAATAAAAGAAAAAGAAGGTAATTTCATTGTTTTTCATTAAACTTTAATATCCAATTAAATATTGAAGAAAAAGAAAAATTCTATAATGAATGGTTAGAAACATACGAAGCATTAAAAGAAAAAGCAAATAATTGTTTAAGTAAAATGCAAATTGAAATTAACAAAGATGAAAGTTTAGAACATAAATTAGATAAACTTGAAACAAAAATCGATGTAATTTCTAATAAATTAATGAAATGTTAATTATTTTATAGAAAGAAAAAAATATGTCTGCTGTTTATCTGATGAAAAAATATTAGAATTTATAAAAATTGCACTTCCAAACTATGGAAAAGGTTTTGTAAAGGGTATGAGAAATCCTGAGTCTCTTAAAGAAAATGGAATAGAATTTTGCAAATATATTTTTAAATTAGAAAGAGAAGAATTTGAAAAAAATTTGAAACTGAAAAATTTATCGAAAAAAAAGTTAATAATATTGTTGATCACATAGATAATAATTATTATATCGAAAGTTTTTTACATACTCTTTCACAATTAGTCTTTCAAGAAAAGATTAAATTGTTAAAAAAATAATTTTATTTCTTAAAATTTAAATTTATAAAATAAAATAAATTTACAATAAAATAAAATAAAATTTTACAAAAAAACAAAACAGACTAATCGTATGTGTATCTTCCACGGTCTTCACACTCCTCCTTCCTAACAAAATGATCCTCCAACTTTTCTAATTTCCTAATAAATTCGTCCTCCGGACGAAAATCAATCCTAAAACGTCTCAACATATCATGCAATCTTCGCTCACCTTCCCTAAACTTATGCTCGCGACGATGTTCAGAATAATGATGATGAGGCGCATGAATCACAATGTGCGCGCTTCTTTCTTCATCCGGTTCGAATTCTTCCCTTTCTTCTCTTCTTTCACTGTGTTCTAATTCTTCCTTGATAATTCTTCTCACATGATCATCATGAGTCTTGGATGATTCTTCCTTTACGATTTGGCTAATTTTTTCCTCAACAATCTTTCGAATGATAGCTTCATTTTGCTCCTCAACAATTTCTTTAACGAGATTATTAAGGGTTGCGGAACGATCAGAGTTACTCATTTTTTTTTTTTAGTGAAATAAAATAAATTTACGGTAAATTTAAAATAATTTTATTTATATTAGTTATTATAATGCAATAGTACAATACAAATTGATCTATATTATACATAAAAATATCTATAAAATATACATATATTACAATAAAATTTAACAATTCTTGAAAATTAACATGTGCTGGTGCTGGAGAAGATGGAATAGAGGTGGTGGTGGTAGAAGAAGATGGAGAAGAAGATGGAGAAGACCCTGTCGACAATGTTCTGTGACCTACTATCAACCCCAATATCACTACACCACCACCAACACCGTTAAC